AGTACGATACCTAACTGCATTAAATGCTACACCTAACAATTTAGTCTTTACGATGTCCAAAAGCATTGCCATATCAGCGGGATTACTCCGATTTTTAACAATTTCTACGCAATTTAAAAATTGTGGAAAGTTTTTCTTATTTCCATCAAAGATAGGAATTAATTTTATTGATTGGTCAAATGATAAATAAACTGTTTCTCTTTCGTTAGCCATGGTTGAGTCGATACATACAAGGAAAAGTACAAATAGGGATAAGAAAGGACTTACTTTTTGCTTTCGTTTTGATTCCCAACGTCTTCAAGGAGTTGTAGGCATCCAAATAGACAAGTCGCACCGCCGATTTTGCCTGCTTTCCGTGGTTTGGTTGTGTACACAGGAATATCCTTCAGGATCGTTGAACACAGTATCACAGGGATAGCCACAAGATTATCCTTTACAAACGTTGATTCGCTGGAATCCCACCGCTGCCACCAAAAATGTTGTGTCCCCGATAAATATATATTTATACGCGGGAACTTTAAATTAGGGTTCGTGCGAAATGGTTAAGACTTGAAAGTCAAAATCAAACTTTCGGCAATGATAAGTCCTTAATTATACTTTATTAAAATTAACAATACACTATTTATTTACTAATGAACTTTAACTACAATTGTGGAACGAGACAGTAACGATTTAGAAACGATTTTAGATGAGTGCTTAGATGTTCTCCCTTGCTTTCTCTTTTCCAGAGGTTTATATACCCTCGGCTGGCTTGGGGTGAATTCAAAGAATTTACTAAAAAGCTGTCCTCGAGTCAAATTCGAGGACGTAGCCATAAATATCCGGTTAACAAAAGATTTGTACTTTTTTTTAGACGATTTGCTTGATTCTAAGAAGGTTGGAGAAAGCTAGGTAGGTAAAAGTGTATACCTAGTACTGCCTGTCCATAACATCCCTCCCCCCTTTGGGAAGAGTAAACATACTTTGATAAAATAATTAATGATCTATATAATAGTTATATAAACAAGAAATGGTAAGAATTATGGTTTACGTTATTACTTGCTAATGATTTGAATCAGTATAAACATTCAGTTACAATTATCTTAAACTTAATTACTTATTTACTACAAATATAAAAGTATGCTTACAATTAATACAAAATATCAAACTTGACAAAATTGTTTTATTTATGAATGAGTAGAACGACGAGCTTTAATGGGAGCTAATATAGGACTATCCGCACTAGATTGCGAAGATGTAGGATTTAAAGAACTTAATTCATGATGCTCGTTTTCAACATTGAACTCATTATGTCTACGTGTTCTCTCATTTTTTTGTATATTAAATATATTTAAACAAGTTTTCGCTGGCGTATTACAACATATAGCATATTGGGTACAGCTGTTTTTCTTACGTCTAACACATTTACAGTAAACAATTAAAATACAAAACAGGATTAAGACAATTACTATGATAATAGTATAATTTGTCACCGTCCTTACGTGAACATCTTCTATATTGTGTAATTGAGATAAAATATCGCTTAGCTTATAGCTGGCTACATTTAATTCGTTTAGTGTTGTTACACTCGATTTATAATTTCTGGTTAAATGAAGCATAGTTACATTCAATCCTTTTTTATTTACTTTTTCTTCGCAATAATTGTCTAAAATATCAAACGAAGGTACGAAATTAAATTCTGATTCAATATTACTATTATATGAATGAAAAGGTACTAATTTAACATCAGTTCCATAACCAGAACAATTTGAATTTAACGAAAATAGTCCAGTACCTTGTAATCTTACATCTTTAGGTACTTTCTGATTGTTGCATGTAATTGTAATTGTTTCGGTTTCCACAAGAACAAAAAGCCACGAATTAACGTTTTCAAATTTATGCCAAATATTGTGATTCAATGCAATCCTAAAATCGCATGTTTGTAAGTATTAAATAATTAGGTATCTCACTTGAATAATAAATAACTATGATAAAACTTAATGTAATTTATTTTATTGAGAAAATACCAAACATTTTATCGTGGCAACGGCCATCGAACAACTAACTCAAGTAAAGTAGTTTACATTACATAGGTGTCGCGCGATACAAATTTACTACCAACTTGACACGCCTCCTTAAATTTGTATCGCGTTTTAAACATAAAAATAATATAAGCATTTTATAAAATACCTAGTGCTTTCCTAAACTTTTCGAATTTTATAATTCCTAACGATTTAGTGAAAATGTCAGCAACATTCTCTTTTGAATTTATTTTGACAACATCAACAGTTTTGTTCATATAATTCTCATTTACAAAATGATAATGAGTTTCAATATACTTGTAATTTTTTGTAAAATTTCCATGTTTGACTATGTTTATCGCACCTGAATTATCTTCATAAATTTTTGTAGGTGTTGAAACCTTAACATCCAAATCTGACAATGTATCTTTCACAACTTACACACTCTGATAACGCTACATATTCAGCAGATGTTGAAGATTTTGTTACGCTATTCTGTTTTTTAGATTTCCAAAATATTATATTATTATACATTTTTAACACATAACCAGTCGTAGATTTTCAATAGGCATCTACATAACAACTTAGAGTATCAGAATTAACATTTTTATTATAAGTCAACTTCAAATCATTGGTCAGCAATAGATACTTAAGTACTCTTAACGCATATTTATAATGCGTATTGTCATAACAGTTCTGGAATCGACTTCGATAGTTTACACTAAAGCTTATGTTAGGTCTTGTACCTGAACTAATATATAGTAACGTACCAATCAAATTTCTATATTTAATCTCTTCTCTCACTACTTTTGTAGGTAACAATTTTAAATTTAGCTCCATCGGAGTTGCATACAATTTAGTGTTTCCAAGACTATATGTCTAGCAACAACAATTTTATTATTTATCAAGACTCTATAACCAACATTTTCATAACCTAACAACACACCCAGATCTGCTTTTTTATCCCATTTTGAATGTCTCTTTTGTTCAGGTACTCTTACAAAAACCCTACTACCATACAGTTTTAAATGTTCTACACTGGGTTTCTCACCAAACATTATTCCGTAAGGAGTTTTATTTTTGACAATAGTATTTGTTATAATTCTATTCTTTAAATAAGCCGCTGTCTTAACAATTTCTGGCCAAAAACACTTATGTACCTTTGCTTCTGCTAACAAACATCTAGACATATCCATTATATCTTTATTATATTTTTCTGCTGTCCCATTTAGCTCATGAACATATGGCGGACAAGGTTCTATTTCAACACCTTTTTCACACGCAAATTTAGACATTTCATTATTCATATATTCCTTACCATTATCACAGCGCAATTTCTTTATCTTATTACCAGTCATATTTTCAATTAAATTTACATATTTGACAAAACAGTTATAGACTTCACTCTTAGATTTAATTACATGAACCTGAGCCGCTTTACTAAAATCATCAATGAAAGTCAAAAAATATCGTTCCCCATTCAATCCAGGAGTACTATGAGGACCACTCAGATCTGTGTGAACAATTTCTAATATATCACTTGCCCTAGTTCTTTCATTTTTAAATGGTAAATTATGCATTTTATTTTCTAAACATATACCACACTTAAAATAATCAGACTCTAACTCTTTAGGCAGACCTTTTTAATACTTGTTTATCACACATAGTTTTCAAATAGTTAAAATTTATATGACCTAGTGTTCTGTGATATTTTTCTTTCTCAGTCATATTATTTTTAGTTGTCACATTCACTTCCGGTTTTACAATTTTACTCGTCATACGAAATACATTATTGACTTTAAATCTTCTCTTTTACAAAAAATACATTTGACATTTTATTTCTTATCATTTGACCAACAACATTGAAGTCATGTACTATGTTACCTATTTTAGTAGCTTTTAATATACGACCATCAGCAATTTTAACATCCACAGGTGTTTTAAGAACAATTGATTCATAAAAGTATTCATCATTATTGACAATGTGGTCGGAACATCCACTATCTAAAAGCCATTCTACTTTATCAACTCAACCATTAACTACAGATTCATGTGATTCAATCTCAGTACAAAAACTACTTGAGCTGCCATCTTCCGCTCTTTGGTAATAACCTTGCTGCCAACCGCCACCACGACGATGTTGACTGGAGCCCCGACTCCCTCGACCGTTGCTACGATACTGCCAACTTTGTTGGCGTCCGCCTCCTTGCTGATACATGCCGCCCCTGGGTTTCCATGAATTGCCGCCCGGTTTTGTATTGGGACATTGGTCTTTGAAATGTCCAAATTTTCCACACTTGAAACAATTTTGATCTTGTTTTTTTTTCAGTTTTGAATACACTTGCTATTATCTTCTTTTTCTTTTTGTTCAATCATTTTAATTTTACTTTTCACATAGTCCACAGTTTGATCTCTTTCTTTCAGAACATCAACAAGGTCTCCAACATAGCCCAACGAACTTGGAAGCATTNATTTTTAACCTTTACTTTCTTGTGTCCCCGACAAATATATATATTTATACGCGGGAACTTTTTAGGGTTCCTGCGAGATGGTTAAGACTTGGAAGTCAAAATCATACTCTCGACAACGATAAGTCCTTAATTTTACTTTATTAAAATAAACAATAGACTACTTACTTACTAATCAACTTTAACTATAGGGGAGACCGGGTATGGAAGTCACATTTTTTTTCTTTTGGATTTTTAGTGGTCTTGTTTTTAGTTCAGCAATGACAACTGTATATTAAAGTATAGTATATTTATTCCCCTTTATGATTAACTTATGCTTTTTTTCTAAAATTTATTTATTAAGGACTTATTTGATTTTTTGTTGAAAAATAAAAGTGTGACTTTTGACCCCGCATCAGGATTGGTTGTCACAGTGATAGGGGTAGGAAGTCCCATAGTAAATTGAGGTAGGATTAAAAACCAGAAACACTTATTTGAATGGCATGAATGTTTTTAATAATTGAAACAATCAAATCACTACTCCTTCACTAATTATTATCAAAAAAAGAAACACAAAATGTTTACTAAAACAAAAATAATTTTAGCTTTAAGCTAATAACAATCATTTTAGCCTACGAACTTAGCAAACTCAATAAAAATAAAAAAATGTAACATACTTAATCAACTCTTTGGACGCAATATACTTAACTTTACTAAGATATATTTAGTCAGTCTCAAAAATTAGTCTGAATATTCCGAATCACAATTGTGGCATACATAATTTGGTAGTCCAGGCGTGCATTCTTTGTGAGCCCATAGCTTACAATCCTGGCACTGAAGCCAAATTTCTCTAGACTTGCTAGTAGAAGACAAGCAGATCAAACAAAAGTCTTCATCCCCTTTTTCATCTTCGTCGCTGTCAACTGTTGTCTTTTTAATTTTCTTTCCTTTAGATGCCTTTTTATTTTCTTTATTTTCACTAAACACTCGTTTCGATACTTTCTTTTTCTTACTTTCTTGTTCTTTTTTTTTCTCTTCTAAAAATGTCTTCTCCGGTGTATCTGTTAAAATTGCCGATTTACATTTTCTTCTATCAACTCGCTGCGATTTGCGCGGAAGTGCTTTTGGTAGGGGCTTCAAAACCTGCGGTGATATTATTAGGGAAGTCTTCAATCCACTTGAACCAAGATAAGTGTTCGTTGTCGAATCCTTTGTAGCATCCTGCTGTGATATTTCTGGTACTGAACTTCCCGAGCCCTGTGGTGTCACTGCACGAACACTAAAATTAGCGTTGTCGTTTTGATCCAATGAAGAAAAATCAAGGACAGGGAGATCACTATTCATAAGACTGTTAATGTCAGAGTTATCCGTTTCATTTTGTATGGTATTATGCACTATATCGGGATCAGTAACCGTAATAAGTGGCCTATCTGTGACAGAGGATGGCATAAAATCATGCTCCTGAAAAATGTCTCGATTAAATGAACAAATTCCACAGGCTTTAAACCCCACGACAATATTGGAAGGAGTTGCTGCTAATGGAAAAGCCTGGGCAACTATTCCTGGTATTTCGTATATCGTCATTGCTTGTCCTGGGTGGTTAACCATCCATTGATCCATTGAGTTGTTGACATATTTTTTTAAAGGCCCAAAAACTGATCTGTCTAAAGGTTGCAGACGATGAGTGCAGTGTGGTGGGAAAGATAACATTATTATGCCATTTTCATTAGCAAAGTTAAGTCCTTCAATGGACAAATGAGAGCTGTGATTGTCCAAAACTAAAAGACATGGTTTTTCTTTAGTAGATTTCACATGATTATGAAAATGTTTTAAGAAACCCACAAATAATTCTTCTGTCATCCAGCCTGAGGGATTACTTCCTCCTTTGCAACCAATTGGCCCATCTCTGATGAAATGGTCTTTGAAATGCACCCTCGGAAACACGAAAAATGGTGGCACTGAATTACCTCCCCCGGAAACAGCAGCGGCTAAGGTCACAAGAGTGCCTCTCTCAGCTGACGTTATTGCACCGACTTGCTTAAAGCCTTTTCTAGCAACAACTTTACTGGGTTTTTGTACCGTAGTCTCCCCAGTTTCGTCCATATTCCAGATGTCGTGTGGCTGAATACCATAACGTGTGATTACCGATTCAAGGTTATCAAAGAAAGTTTTGACATTATGTTGGTTAAAACTAGTGGCCCGAGCCAAACTGGTGGATTCAGGTGTTCTAATGGATAGAGAAGGATGTCTCGTCAAAAACGATGTAAACCAGTCAGGGCCAGCTAGCTTGTTTGATTCCCAAGACTTCGGAACTTTAAGGTTATTCGAAATTGCGAGTTCAAATGCTAATTTTCGAATTTCCTTTGGAGTCAATCCAAAATAAATACTTGAGGCATTAAGGATGTATTTTTCCAATTCTTGTTCCTGTTCATCGGTAAAAACCTGACGATTCTTTTGATAGCCTATTTTTGTAGTAGGTGGTGACACAGTCTCATTGCTTATCTCTTCGGCTGTAAATTTTTGACAATACCTTGTTAAAGTGCGATAATTAATACCAAAAGCCTTTGCGACGGATCTTATAGATTTGCCATAGGTTTTCACTTCCCTCGCAGCACCCAACATTAAGGCTGGTGACACAAGGCCTCGATTAGACTTTCTCTTGTGATACCGTGGCATTTTTAAGACAATCTCTGAAACAAACAAAGTACCTATTATGAGCAAACAGCCCAAAACCCAACAAAATAGCCAGCAAACAAGCATGGGGAAGGTTGTCACATGTGACAATAAGCCCCCGCCGACTTGAGACAACCAGCCCCAAAGCACGTTTTAGAAAATAACCTCTCAAAATAAAGTTAAAACATGTTGTGTATTAAAACAAACATTACATCACTATACAACACTTATTTGACATGACAAATACATGCAAAATTTTATAAACCCACAAAATATAAATATACTTACTAGGCTCGACACTGATGCACAAAAAAATACTTTTGGTGTGCGAAAAAAACGATCGTGCGTCTCGCCGTTACTGCGTCGCTGAGCGGACTGAGGTGAAGTAGGGAGAGAGGTGTTGCCGTCTCGCTAGTTTGACGTCACACAGCGGGTTCATTCGTTCATTACTTTCTCGCTTATTACTGCTGTGACAACCTACCCGTGTGACAACCTTACCCGGTCTCCATTATGAAACGAGGCAGTGACGATTTTAAAACGATTTAAGTGGAGTGCTTAGATGTTCCCCTTCTCTTTCTCTCTTTTCCAGAGGTTTATATACCCTCGGTTGACTTGGGGTGATTTCGGAGAATTTACTAAAAAGCTGTCCTCGAGTCAAATTCGAGGACGTAACCATAAATATCTGTTTAACTGCAGATTTGCCCTTTTTTTATGCGGTTTGCTTAACTCTAGGAAGGTTGGTGAAAGCTTGGTAGGTAAAAGAATATACCTAGTACTACCTGTCCATAACATCCCTCCCCCCTTTGGGAAGAGTAAACATACCTTGATAAAATAATTAATGATCTATATAATAGTTATATAAATAAGAAATGGTAAAAATAATGGTTACGTTATTACGTGTTAATGAATTGAATCAGTATAAACATTCAGTTACAATTATCTTAAACTTAATTACTTACTTACTACAAATATAAGTATGCTTAATACAAAATATCAAACTTGACAAAGTTGTTTTATTTATGAATGGGTAGAACGACGAGCTTTAATGGGAGTTAATATAGGACTGTCCGTACTAGATTGCGAAGATGTATGATTTAAAGAACTTAATTCACGATGCTCGTTTTCAACATTGAACTCATTACGTGTTCTTTCATTTTTTTGTATATTAAAAATATTTAAACAGGTTTTCGCTAGCGTATTACAACTTATAGAATATTGGGTACAGCCGTTTTTCTTATGTCTAACACATTTACAGTAAACAACTAAAATACTGTCACGCTCAATTTGTAAACGGTGTCTTCACCATTTATGTTACATCGGTAATTTGTTAATTATTTATTTTAACTACCCGATTGTAATGCAATTTAATTATTTTGTCGTGACTGGGGGTCAGATACTAAGATGACAAGATAGGCAAGTTTTCAAAACAACAACAAACTTTATTATAAAAATAATATAGAGAATTGACTTGAATATTTACAAGAAGGATCTTCCTCTCATTGTAGATCAATACGCAAAAAACTAGTTAAGAGGTCTACTTATATGTTTAGGAGCGCCGCAATCATTATCGCCCATGGGTAGTGTCACCAACACTCAGAATTTGCCACCTGTTACTCTTTTAAGGGTAGACTTTATCCCTTCGCGTTCCGGAATCAACTGATTGCGATTAGACTATCAATTCCCGTTTACGCGCTAAATTTTTTGATGAACCAATAATTATTTGTCCATAGTTCAACATGGGTCATTCACTGGTTTTAGAAGTTTCTCGGGTTTAGCTGATTTAATGAAAAGAACCGACGAAGTCCTTCTTGATGACTTCGCGAAGTACAATAATTTTCCCAATGACCAGAGCTATCGAACTGGCGTCAAATTCTGCTTGTAAATAGATAATTGTTTTCACTTACTGCTTCGTTGCTGTGTAATGCCAAATACGCTTATTTTGCAAGTAAATGAACTCGATATCCGTTTTATGAATTTGAAAAGAATAGCAACGTTATAATTATGAAATATTTAATTGATTTTGAAATATGTTTTGATATCTAAAATGGTTTTTTGAATTTCGCTAGAACTTCACTGCGTGACAATACAAAACAGGATTAAGACAATTACTATGACAATAGAATAATTTATCACAGTCCTTACGTAAACATCTTCTATATTGTGTAATTGAGACAAAATATCGCTTCGCTTATAGCTTGCTACATTTAATTCGTTTAGTGTTGTTACACTCGATTTATAATTTCTGGTTAAATGAAGCATAGTTACATTTAATCCTTTTTTATTTACCTTTTCTTCGCAATAATTGCCTAAAATATCAAACGAAGGTACGAAATTAAATTCTGATTCAATATTATTATTAAATGAATGAAAAGGAACTAATTTAACGTCAGTTCCATACCCAGAACAATTTGAATTTAACGAAAATAGTCCAGTACCTTGTAATCTTACATCTTTAGGTACTTTCTGATTGTTGCATGTAATTGTAATTGTTTCGGTTTCCACAAGAACAAAAAGCCATGAATTAACGTTTTCAAGTTTATGCCAAATGTTGTGATTTAATGCAATAATCCTAAAATCGCATGTTTGTAAGTATTAAATAATTAGGTATCTCACTTGAATAATAAATAACTATGATAAAACTTAATGTAATTTATTTTATTGAGAAAATACCAAACATTTTATCGTGGCAACGGCCATCGAACAACTAACTCAAGTAAAGTAGTTTACATTACATAGGTGTCGCGCGATACAAATTTACTACCAACTTGACACGCCTCCTTAAATTTGTATCGCGTTTTAAACATAAAAATAATATAAGCATTTTATAAAATACCTAGTGCTTTCCTAAACTTTTCGAATTTTATAATTCCTAACGATTTAGTGAGAATGTCAGCAACATTCTCTTCTGAATTTATTTTGACAACATCAACAGTTTTGTTCATATAATTCTCATTTACAAAATGATAATGAGTTTCAATATACTTGTAATTTTTTGTAAAATTTCCATGTTTGACTATGTTTATCGCACCTGAATTATCTTCATAAATTTTTATAGGTATTGAAACCTTAACCTTCACAACTTTTAATTCGCTTACACACTCTGATTATGCTACATATTCAGCAGATGTTGAAGATTTTGTTACGCTATTCTGTTTTTTAGATTTNTGCGTCGCTCGTCACTTATGAGAGCGAACGGTCCCCTGGTCGTATATTATTATTATTATTATCGTACTTTGTCATCGGTGACACTAAACCCTATGATATCTCCTCTGCTACAATCGTTTTTCTAACCATCATAGGTTTATTTAGAATACACACAGAATGCCTTTATCTCTCTCTTTTTCCTTAATGAAGAACTTAACAAATTTAAACTTAAATATTTTCAAATCATCTGCATATAATAAGTATTCCGATTTAAGATTGAGAAACAAGTTGGGCACCCCATTAAATCCAGCACCTTTTTTGCGTCCAGCTTACATAGTTGTTCGAAGACATCATCGAATCTAACTTGCAAATCAGCCAAGTTAACATCCAGGTCTAGTTGTTGATTTTAGTTTCGGATTAAAGGCGAGGAGCTAGTGTTATCCAGGTTGCTGTCATAGATACTTTTAATGAAAGATGCAGATATGTCAGTTATTTCACTCATCATCATTTTCCGCCTTGTTTTCATTCCAGGACATGGAAGATGGAATGTCGATATCATTTCGTTTCTTATGTTTAACAAATTTCCAAAATTGACTGACTTCATTATATCTTCAACTCTTGTTGTATATGTTATAACACTTTGCACTAATTGTTTTACATTCTAATCTTCGGAAACTATTATAGGCCGCTTTTGTTCTTGATTTTTTATAATTTGTATGCGCTTCCTTTTTCAGTCTGATTTTATCTATTAGCTCTTTAGAAAACCAACTAGGATAATTGTTTATCTTACTTACGTGGACCAGGGCAAAATGTGTAATTCCTTTATTGATGTTTTCATAAAACAAATTAACTTTATCATTGACAGACTCCAATTTGTATAGTTCGACCAAGTTACTTCTGAGAAAGAAGTTATTAAACCCTACGTAGTCCGCTTTTTTAAATACATAAGTTGGTGTGCTGTTAGTAGTAAAACAATGTCGGAGCTGGGACTCAGGATGTCCTGCACATCCATTACTGACCATCCTTCCAGTTCTTCAACGCCTTTGGAGGTTTTTATTCAGCCGAAGTAGGTCATTCTTCGGCTAAAGGTCATTCCTTGGCTGTAGAGGAAGAAAAAGGTTCATTCTTCAGCTAGGCATAACAATGCGCACACACACATACACACATGCTCAGGAAACACCCCCTACAACTCCCTTCTATCGTAGACGTCGCTGTTGCTGCAGTTATGGGTGGTTGTAAGGGGTGTTTCCTGAGCATGTGTGTATGTATGTGTGTGTGTTATTTTTTGTGTGTTGTCTGTATTGTGTGTTGTTGTGTGTGTTGGAGGAGGATGATGGTTAGGTGACGTAGACGATTTTTTTCGCGCGGCCGAGTTCGAATCGCGTACCAGTGCGATAATACGACAACCGATTACGACGTTAACGCAGTGGGCCACCGACTCGGCGCGCTTGATCGATGCCTAAAAGCGGTTGATACAACAAGCGGTGTGTCTATGTGTGTGCGCGAATGTGCGAGTATACCATATCGCCCGTAGCTGGCCAGACCGCCATCGCAGCCGTCAGCTTTGAATCATACGTAACATACATATATACGTATAGTTGAATGGTATGGTAGGTAGTACGTATGTACATTTTACACATTCATACATATACACACACACACACACACATACATACATGGTTGTATGTAATTACATTTTACACATACATACATACAAACATACACACATACGGTTGCCAGTGCCGCAACCATCGGCTTTGAATCTCGTAACATACATGTATGTATACGTACAGTTGAATGGTATGCTAGATGGTGCGTACGTAAGTACAGTTCGAACCATCAGTGTTTGCTGTTGTTGGTACATTTTGCACATACATACATCCATAGACACACACATACATAATCTCATAATATGCATGTATACGTATAGTAGTAGTACTTTACATACATCATACATACATACATACATACATACATACACACACACATACACATACACACACACACACACACACACACACACACACACACACACACACACACACACACACACACACACACAACTGCCAGCAACGCAGCCGGCGACTTTGAATCCANTTCGCTTCCTGGTAACAAGTTTCGGTTGGGTTTCACTGCTTAATGTTTTTCTGAGAATGTTAACCGATAACCGTACTGTTTCAGTTCTTATTGTTAGATTTATAATAATTTTGGTTTATGTACATTCTCAGGATTTTGATTATGAACTAGCCGCTACAGTACCCCCTCGCTAGTGATTAACGTTAAGGATTTCCTGCTTGGTAGCGGTCGGTGAACCTTATCCTTCGGCCTGATCGGGTTGTTGCTGAACCGCCTTGGTT